ATGTTGACCAGGATGGTCAACATGGTGAAACCCCGTCTCTACTAAAACTACAAAAAATTAGCTGGGCATGGTGGTGCGTGCCTGTAATCCCAGCTACTCAGGAGGCTGAGGCAGAAGAATTGCCTAAACCCAGGAGGCGGAGGTTGCGGTGAGCCGAGATCACACCATTGCACTCCAGCCTGGGTAACAAGAGTGAAACTCTGTCTCAAAAAAAAAAAAAAAAAAAAAGAAAGAAAAATAGAAATTCCTTGTTCTTCATGCCTTTAGCCATTTCCCAGAGATTACTTTCAAATCATTTTCATTTATTTGTGGCTTTTATCTTTTTGTTTTTACATGATTATTGGAGACATTGTCTGTTGACTTCCTTCTTTGGAAGATGATAATAAAATTATATAATTCTCTTTCCTGTCCCATACACCTTAACTGCCAACACACACACACACACACACACACACACACACACACACACACACACTATATATATATATATATATATACACACACACACACACACATATATATGCATTTTCCAATTTTTGAAATCTTCTCAATATATTTAGATCATAATTTTGATCAAATCAATAGCTGTTTTCATTATTATGACTAGGTAAATGCTATTTTACAACTGAGTCATATGTTATACTGTGATTTTTTTTCTATACAACATTTAGTTTTCCCTAGGGTAATCACTGTCATAAATTTTTTTTTGTTTGTTTCATATGTGATTCTTTTAAATTCATTACCAAATTCTCTTCCATTCTGTAACTCTAATCTCATCATGATCACAATAGGCAGTTATAACTTTCCGTCTTTGGAGGGATCTTTCTTTGAGCCTTCTGACTTTCTCTAGTCTGCACTATCCCAGGCTTGACTTACATCTCTCAGCCTGGTGTCTCCTTCAGCCCTGATCTCCAGGAGTCCCTTTGCCTTTCTCTTTTGTGGACTCATTGTTTCCCATATCTGTTTTGAATAAACACCTCTTACAGTAGCCTCTATAGAAAGTATGGATAAAAGAATTTTTTTGAGATTATGCATGTTTTAAAATGTCTTTCATTTATCCTTACACTTAACTGATAGCTTGTCAGAGTAGAGATTTAAAGGTTAGAAATAATTTCATGAAAACTTTGGTGTACTGTTGTTTTATCTTTGAACTTCTAATGGAACTGTTTAGAAGACTCTATTTGAATATTAATTCTTATAAATATTATGTTTTTCTTTCTGTCCCTGCTCTGGAAACATTTAGAATCTTCTTTTGGTTCTCAGTGTTATGAGGTACTATCACAAGATGTCTTTCTACGGATTCGTTTTCCTCCCAATGGGTATGTTTAATCATTTGGAAATGCTTATTTTTTACTTCTAGGATATTTTCTTGAGTTATTTGATTCATGAATTACTCTTGGTTTTATCTTTTTTCCTTTCTTGAAATTCTTATTATTTGACAATTAGATCTCCTGGGTTGGTTTTCTAGTTTTAAAGAAATCTCATTTCTACAGTTTTCTATGATTTTATCTTTTTTGCTTTATGGTCTAGAAGTTTTCCTGTACTGCAATTTCTAATCCTTCTTTTGAGTTTTCATTTCTGCTCACCTATGTTAATTTCCAAGCGCTCTTGCCTTTTCTCTGTGTTCCTTCTTATAGCATTGTGTTTTTACTTCATGAGTGCAAAATCTTCTCATGTCTTGCTGAGGATATAAAAACGTTTATGTGCAGTTTTCCTATCCCCACATAGTCTGTTTCCATCAGGATGATGTTTGGTTTGTTGGTTTTGGTCACTGCTTCTCATGTTGGAGGCTTTATGCAGATGCATTGGAATCCTGGCTGGCTGTTTTTGGCTGGACTTGTGGCTGCGGTCCTTACGTAGGGCAAACTGATTTGGTTATTTTGTGGGAAATCCTCAACATCAGTATTTTGGGGTCATTTCTATTGGGCAGCCAATTTCCTCAGAGAGGAATTTTCTCATTTGCAGCCTAGAGATTATAGCCCTTGCTCTGAGCTTTCTGAAAGCTGAATGGAGAATAGAGTTGAGGGTTTGACACTGTGTGCAAGCTTTCACATAACCCCCTGATTTCAGTATAGAACCCCTACTTTCTGCTGTTCCTTCATTGCAGGGATCCTCTCTAGTCTGTTTAAGTGTGAAAAGGGAAATTGACTGGCTCTGTGGAATTAGGGAAGGCATCTGGAGGGCTAGGTGTCCATCTGGTTCTTAAACAGACTTTCAGTAAATTCTCCAGTTTTAGCCCTTCCTTTGATCTCTCACTTCTCAAAGTATCTGGCGGTGACAATTCCTGGGATATTTAGTTCTGTAGTGCACATCAGATTATTAAGTATTTCTTTCTGTTGGTTTAAGATCCTCCAGCTGTCTTGGATCTGATGAGTTAGTACTTGTCCTATGTGTTCCAGCTTCCAAACTTTTGTTGCTGTTATGTTTTACTGTTCTGTTTGTCTTATGGCCTTATGGCTTTACACAGTCCATTTATTGTTATCTTGTGGAATTTTGAGAGGAAACAGAGGTACATACATGTGGTCAACCCTCCATGTCTGGCTGAGTCTTTCTGTTTCTTTGCATAGTTCTGTTAGTTCTGCTAGTTCATGCTCCTCTGTCATTTGTTTATTACCCAGATTTACGTAGCTCTTGATCAAAATGTTTCCATTGCTATTTACCATTTGTCTCAAGCTACTTGTCACTAGAGAATATCCCAACCTTGCTAAATCCACCAGAGGTTCACTGCCATAATATCTGTCTATTTAACCTGTAAGTCTATTCACTGTCTGCTTGGCCTCTCAGCTGTTTTGCGTGGCCTCTATTTTTTGGAAGTCCTCTGTTGTTCTACTCAGTCATTCTCTCTGCTCGTTAGATCCAGGCCTTCTCTGATACTACATCATTCCTCAAGCCTAACTCCAGCAGGATATCTCTCTCCAGTCCCTTAAGTATATGGATTATCACTGTGAAAATGATCAAGCATTGTGTCATTATGTAGGCTGAGTCAGGAGTCTAACCCTTTCACATAGGGTTATACTTTAGAGTTAAAGGAAGGCATGAAATGTACCAGTATCATGGATAAACTTGGACCTAAATATCTTCCATTTCTTGGACCTAAATATCTTCCATTTCTTAAAGTCAGGTGTCTGTTCCACTCTTTGGACTAGACATGGACAGCGATAAAGGGGTGAGATGAAAAACCACTCTCACTCATTGCTGTGAACTGAATTTAAAACAATTAGGGCTAAATTCCTCTTCTGTTAGACTTTAGTAAACAGCATTCTGTAGTCCACAGGGAATTTGTCAAAATGCTGTGTGAATTTTGTTGATAAACCTGTTATAGGTGTTTTTCAGTTTGTGTTTGAGCTAAAATATTGTCAAGTGGCATACTTCCCTGAGGCAGCCAGTGTAGGATTAGAACATATGTGTCTTTGATGAAAGCTTCTTTTCAGTTTAAATCACTAGGATTCTTGTGAAGCTGTATCTTATGAACATTGTTATGTAAGCACTGCCTTTAAAATCTTTGGCTTGAGTCTCAAGTAAATGGTCTGCTGGCTGAGAAGCAATGAAAATAAAATGTCTCCATGTTATGGTACATGGAATTTTTCTATTGTCAGGTAGAACTTTGCCTACAGAAATTTATAGTGAGGGAAATTAATAAAAATCATTATGGTTAGTAGTGTTAAAAACAAAGCTTATATACTGTTGGTGGGAATGTAAATTAGTTCAGCCACTCTGGAGAGCATTTTGAGAGTTTCTTAAAGAACTTAGTGCAGAGGTACCATTCAACCCAGAAATCCCATTATTGGGTATATAGCTGAAGGAAAATAGATCATTATAACAAAAAGATACATGTGCTTATATGTTCATTGCTGTGCTATTCACAATAACAAAGGCATGGAATCAACCTGGGTGTCCATTGATGGTGAATTGGATTAAAAAATGTGATATATATATATATATACCATGGAATACTATGCAGCCATAAAAAAGAATGAAATCATGTCTTTTGTAGCAACATGGATGTAGCTGGAGGCTGTGATCCTAAGTTAATTGCTCCAGAAACAGAAAACTAAATTCTGCATGTTCTCACTGATAAGTGGGAGCTAAACGTTGAGCACCCATGACATAAACATGGGAGCAATAGACACTGTGGACTACTAGAGGGGGAGTAAGGGGTGCATGAGTTAAAAAAACTATGTATTGAATACTATGCTCACTACCTAGGTGCAATATACCTATGTAACAAATCTGCACATGTCCTCCCTGTGTGAGATAAAAGCTGAAAAAGAAAGAATAAGAAAAATGAGAGTTTTCATTTTACCTTCAGAAAAAAAGAAAGGTTTAAAAATATCAAAATTGAAGTCTGTGTTCTCATTATTAATTGAAAATCCAGATTATCTGAGACAGAATGAGGAAGGGAGAAAGTAGTGCCAGAGGAGGTCAGAAAGGTAGTGAGACCAGATCATGAAGGGCCCTGGAGACCATTGTGTTCTGTGGATAGAGACTTCTAGAAGTATTCTGAGTAGAAAAATGACATGATATGACATATTTTAACAGGATTGCTCTAACTGTTGTGTTGAACATAAACCCTAGGGTTACAAGGTGAGGTGGAGAGAGATAATTCAGGGAGGCTATTGCAATCATTTTAGTGAAAGATGATGTTGGTTTGGGCCAAGATAGTAGCAATGGAGATTTCAGAAAGTTGTGAGACTCTGGATATGTTTTGAAAATAGAGCCAACAAGATTTGCTGACAGATTAGATGGGGGCTGTTAAAATCAAAGAGAAATCAGGGAGACTCCAAGAGATTTTTGGTTTATATATCTCTTAAGGATGGGAAATAATTTGGGGAAAGGAAAATATTTTTGAGGGGAGAGATGTGCTAGAATTAAGAGCTAAGTTTTGATAAGTTATTTTAAGTTTGAGATGGTACATAGACAGGGAAATATAGATGCCCTGTAGGCAGTCACATAGACAAATCTGGATTTCAGGGAGAGGTCCTGGCTGGTAACATACACTTGGCAATTGTTGAGATAGAGTTGATATTTAAAGTCATAGGACTGGTTGAACCCTCCTTGATATTGAGTGTGGATAGAGAAGAGGTCTAAGCACTAAGCCCTGGTGCATTCTAATATTCTAATATGTAGTGGTCATATTAGATGAGATGAGGTGAAACCAGCAAAATGACTGAGAAGGAAGTGAGTTAGTAAGGAATCTAGGAGTGAGGTATGCTGTAGGTCAGTTGAGGAAAGTGTTTCAAGGAGGGATGAGTGAGCAACCATGGGAAGCTCCTTTTACAGGTCAAGAAAGACAAGATCTTGGAATTGATCATTGGATTTTGGAGTCTGAGGGTCACTAGTGACTTTGAGCAGATTTGACCTAATCCTGGAGGCAAAAGCTCTTACAAACCCTTAAACGTCAGTTACCTCATTGGTAAAATGGGCTAGTAATATTACCTGTCTTACAGGATTGTTGTGAAAACTAAATAAATTAATTCATGTAAAATGCTCCAAACAGTGCCTAGCTCATTGTAACTGCTAAATACAGGTTTTCTGTTGTTTCTAGAAACCTCTATTCAGGTGCTCATTAATTGTCAGTCATGATCTTTTGGTAAGGTCCTGCAACTAATTAAGAATCTACCTAATTGAATGAGCATCTAGTCTTCTCTGCTAGGCTATCACTGAAGATCTTTTTCAGTGCCTCACCAAAGTATAGGTAAATTGTGGTAGTTCAGTCAGGGTGGTAGCAAAAATATTCAGGGAAAAATATTAGAGAAAGTTATAGAAAATAGTCACAGACCTTTTTGGAAGGCCGGAAGCTTTTGTAAAAGCCCCAGAATAGAAGGCAGCCTAATACCCTTTACATTTAGTTGATCAAGAAAAGCAAATAACAAAGACTGTAAAGGAGTTTACCTAAATAGCCTGTTTACTCATGTGGTCCTAAAAACTAACCTTTAATCTTTCACGAACTGGATGGCTTTCTTGGCAGGGTGCGGGGGGGTGAGGGCGGGCTAGATTTATCACCCACAAATGGTGTTTGCTTTAGGCCTCAGAACCTGGCCTTTAATCTTTACCCTTTAATGGTGTTGACTCAAAGCTTTTGTCATTTAATGTGTGCTGAATAAAGATCGGGAAGGCCAGTGTGTCAGGTCTGGTAGCCGTTAACTCCTTCGGGTTAGTGGCCAAGGACACCCCTAGTCTGTTCTTTCACTGTATTCTGTGTTTGCATGAGTTTATTCATCCATCGTGTAGCTGGGGTCTGCTGGGCAGACCCCAGCAGTAAATCTGAAAAACATGTTTACTCTATTAAGCAAGAAATGAGGTTATCACTGCATGACTTCTGCAGGATAATGTGCTGAGTCCTAGATATCACTTCTTTTATTTCTGGATGCTTATCCCTTATAAATCATGTCCAGGTATGCTTAGTCCACTAGTCTCCTGTTGGAATTCACTATATTTTCATATTCTTATTTGAAAACTGCAATTGGGTTTGCCTTAATTCTAGTCTTTTGCCAACTCTTTTTCAAACATAGCTGGCAGTGGCATAGTTATCTCTCTGGCATGTTCTTCACAGTGTTGGGATGAAACCTGAGGGGGCCAGAACGCATGAACTCATTTAGAGCTATTAATGTTTTGTTTTCTCCATGACCCATCATTTTTTAATTGCAGTAAAATACATGTAACATAAATTTTACTATCTTAACAATTTTTAAGGATATTGACAGTGGTATTAAATACATTCATAATGTTATACATCCTTAACCCCCATACAGCCTCATAACTCCTTTCAGCTTGCAAAACAAAAACTGTTTACCCATGAAACAATAGCTTCCATTCCCCTCTTCCCACCAGTCCCTGGAGACCAGCATACTACTTTCTGTCTGTATGAGTTTGACGACTTTAGGTGCTTCATATAAGTGAAATAAAAGTATTTGTATTTTTGTGACTGAATTATTTTACTTAGCTTAGTGTCCTCAAGATATCTCGATTTTATAGCATATATCAAAGTCTTCCCTTTGTAAAAGTGAACAATATTCCTTTGTATGTATATAGCACATTTTGTTCATGCATTCATCTGTTGATGGACACTTGGTTGCGTCCACTTTAGCTATTATGAATATGCTGCTGTAGACATGGGTATATAAATATCTCTTTGAGACCCTGCTTTCAATTCTTTTGGGTATCTATCCAGAAGTGAAATTGCCAGATCATATGGTAGTTTTATTTTTAATGTTTTGAGGAACTACCATACTGTGTTCCACAGTGCTTGTACCATTTCACATTCCCACCAATAGTGCACGAAGGTTTCAATGTCTCCACACCCTTTCCAACACTTGTTATTTTCTGATAGGAGCCATCTTAATGGTGTGAGGTGGTATCTCATTGTAGTTTTGATTTGCATTTCCCTGATAATTATTGATGTTGAACATCTGTTCATGTGACTATTGGCTTTTTGTATATGTTCTTTGGAGAAAGGTCTATTCAAGTTCTTTGCCCATTATTGAATCTGATTGTTTTCTATTTGTTGAGTGTTTGTTTTCTTTTTTAAATATGCCTTTTGTTGGTTTTATATCTTCTGTCAGCAGAGCTCATAGTAATCCACATTCTGCTCATTGTTATCTGTCATTCTGTGTGAAATGGGGACAGGCAGAGCAGGAGTCAAGGACTTGTGAGTCCTTTGCATCATTTGTCAACTCTGACCCACAACCAAGGAAGTAGGTGCAATGGACTGAATTGTGTCTCCCTCAAATTCATGTGTTGAATCCCTAACACTTCATGTGACTGTATGGGATACAGGGCCTTTAAGGAGGTAATTAAGATTAAATGGGCTAAATGAGGGTATAGCCCTGATCCAGTAGAACTGGTCTCCTCATAAGAAAAGGGAGAGACAACAGGACTCTCTCTCCACCGTATGAAGACACAGTGAGAAGATAGCTGTCTGCAAACCAGGAAGAGGGCCCTCACCAGAGCCTGACCATGCTGGCCCCCTGATCTCAGACTTCACACATCTAAAACTGAAAAATAAATTTCTGTTGTTCAAGCCACTCAGTTTTTTTGTTATGGGAGCTCAAATGGGCTAAGACACAAAGGTT